GAATACGTGGCGATAAATCGCGGCCATGACGATCATTACAGAGATATCTCGAAATTTTTGATCGAGGGTAACCTCATCATCGCGTAGCAGCCCCCGTCGTCGAGAGGGAAATGCAACGGAGCCACGATGGAATCGCGTGACGTACAATTCGACGGTTCGGACGGACGGCTCTAGGAATAGTTGGTTATCGGCCCAGCAGAGTGGTGAGCCCTGGCCTGGGTGTGTGTCTTTAGAAAAGCATTAGTGTCCGGAATTAATTGATCGCGGAAGGGAAGTGGATATCTAGGCGAGCTTACATGTTCCTCTTTGCCTGGTCCCTCACTCACTCACTCTCTCTCTCTCTCTGTCTTTCTCTTTCTCTTCACCTGGTACTCTCCCTTTCTCTTGCTCGCTGGTTGGTCTGGGGGTGCAGGGTAATATCGGTACTAGCCTGTACCAGTCGATGAGCCACTCGCCGCCCTCCCCTCCTCGTCGCTCTTCTTGCATTGCCTTCTACACACGACTCTGCTCGGGGCAACGATATAATCCGATGGCTTGTTCCTCGTGACTTTTGCTCGCGTTTTTAATACTGAAGCACTTGCCGACACGTATCAACCTCGTTTCTTTTCTCTCTCTTTCTCTCTCTTTTTCTGATCGACTTTCGATCACGTTTATTCGATTCATTCGAAGATCCAGCGTTCAATATTGAAATAAATTCCTCTAGACAAACACATTTTCGGTGGCTAGCGTGAAATTCGTCCATCAAGCTAGAGTAGTTGATAGAGTGCGTGTTATTTCGTTGGTGTTTCTTTGTCGCCGAATGTTGTGAAATTTGTCACAGAGTATAGTTACTTCGAAAACTTGTTGCTTTTTGAAACCGTGAATGAGTATGTACTCATTTTATAGAGTAATAATCTTAATTAATTATATATTTGTTCGTGATCGTAGACGTCCCTGAACAAGTATGGTTGCGTTTGATATGCCTTTATTACAGTAGATCGTATTCTGTTTCATTTTGAGAATATAGTATTTAAATCGGCAAGACAAACTTTCGGGTATCTTTCAGTAATCATACGCACAGCCTGAATCTTTAACACGACAATTAATACAATACGTAGCTCTTGCGCAAGGGGCGTGAAGTCTCTTTTTTTCTTTCTCATCCGTGTCATCGTCGAGGATTCTCAACGCCGAGGGCAAAGAGGCGCGGAACGGTTAGAAACGTTTGTTTGAGGAGGCCGAGGGCCGACGGTTATTAAGCTCAGGCCACAGACCACATCAGAGGCAAGTAGAAAGGCCCCTTGGCGTATTCACCTAACCCTTTCTCTCTCTCCTTCTCTATGCCTTCTTCTCTCTGGCGATGCGGCTCGTCCGCGTATCTATCATAATTTACGATGCCTCGCGAACCTTCTGGTCTCTAACGATCGATCCTTCACGGATTTCGTTCGAGCGTAGACCAGACCGGAAGTTTTAATGCATATTTCATTTTCCGTCCCCTCGAGTTGCAGTTTCCGGCTGTGCAGCGTGTTTCGCGGTGGCTACGATCATTTTCAGCGACGTTGATCGCGCGTGCAACAGGATCAAGAGATCTTGAGCGAAGTAATCTTGAGTAATCTTGAGAAAGTAATTTGCTTTCAATTGGCTCGAAGATCTTATCATTTGACTCGGAGTATCATCTCAATGGGAGAGTCGTGACTTGCGAGTTTGTTACTCAGCTCTTTCACTGCCGATTAAAATAACTGACTACTGAAAAAAGAAATGGATATATTATATATACATATATGTGTATATTGTACACGTATATTCCTCGTATGATCAACGTAACGGTGCATTAATATATACATAGGCGCTTAATACTTTGAGAGACTCGCACTGCAGCATTAAAACAGGCACAATCTGAATGCAGCTTTTTATATCGATTGCTTTCTTCAACAAGAGAAATAAAAGGCCGTTCTAGAAGTTGAAGGGATATAGAACTGTCATGTGCATTGTTCCTTGATCGTAGCTCAGATTAGTACATACGCAATCATGGTATCAATTATTCAGCGATATCGAATAGGCGTAAATTGTTCACGCAATGTGTTTATGTACTTTTCATCGTGCAACTTATGCACACTTGCAAATTGACTCAGCCTGCGAATAAACCATCGATCTTGGCCATTTTGTAAAAAAAAAAAAAGAAAAAAAGAAAACAAGAAGATTTGTATATAATAAAAATCTTGTTACAGTCTTCTGCAAGGAACATTAATTTCAAATCATGCGATCATTTGATCAAAACCTCGTTTCACTTGGAACGTCGCCAACTGTCCTCTTCGAAAACCACCTATCTCTGTCAAAAATCGTATCGTCGATCCCACGAAAATCCAGAGCGAATTGTTCGCGAGGTGGCCATCACCGGCGATGCCGATTACCGGCGTGCCCGGCGAAATACGCCTATCCAAGCCACTTAGACGCAATCACGAAAGCAATTGGAATCGGTAAATATCTGATTCGACTGGTGCAAAGGGAAGCTCGCCTCGGGAGGGCTGAAACGAGCGGCGAGAGGAGGCGCCGGGCGTAAGCGGTTAGCCGGATCGAGTAGTAGTCGACTTGATACCCGTCAGATATGTCCTTGAAGCATGCGAGCCGTGCAACGCGCCACGTTTGATAAAGGACGCCGATACTCGCTTCAGCCTGATACTCGCACGCCTCTGCGTCAAACGTTTCCACGCGTTTCGCGTAATGGATATACGCCCGGTATATGCCAGTTCGCGACCCTCTCGCTTCATACCTCGCGTTTCACCTCCTTCCCCACCCACTTTCAGCTGATCCCTGTTGCACCCGCGCGTTGGCGTGCAATCGCTCGATTTCCCACCCCCCTCCCCCCCGTCGTCGTGTCCCCGTCCCCTTTGCAGCTCCGCGGAAATCTGCCTTTAGGCGTGTTGCAGAAGCACCGAGATCCGACGTGATAAGTGGTTAAACGGCAGTAAGTAAATGTTGTAACGCGCGCTTGCGAGCGGAACGCCGTTTCAAAGAGGTTGACGCATCAGACGATTATGCGTGTATCGCGCGACCGCCACCGCCACCGCCACCGCATCGCGTTATGAGATTAGGATTGGGGATGGAATTAGAAGATGGTCCGTTTGATGGTGGGTGATAGCTGGATGGTGGTTTTTGGTTGGTTTTGTTAGATGTGCATGATGATTGTTACATTTTGCACATCTACCGATGAAATATCTTGCTACACAGTATTGCTCGTGATATGTTTTGTATAATATGTTTAAGATGTTTCGAACGAGATATCTCGGGAGTTTTTTTTTCGTTAGAATTTTATTTCAATACGTTACACGAATCATGTACGTTGCATCGCGAGTTACTTCGATATTAGTTCAAATTGCGAGGTTAAATTTATTATATTAGGTTAAAAATAATATAATTTTTAAAGATATTTGAGAAGATATTTAAATCTTAATATACATCGTAATAATGTTGAAAGATATTCAAATAGCTTCTAAATTTTTCTATTACAATCGTAATAATCCTGTCCCATTGGAATAATAATTAGAATAATCGGTCCATTAAATTTCCTATATTACAAAATTCAATAGATTTTTATATCATTTTATAATATGTTGTAATATATTTTATAATACTTAATTTTAGAAGATTTTCGAAAAATATCTACATATATTCTTGGATGACTTTCTCGTTCATGTTGAAATATCTTTCACGATATTTTGTACCGATGTCGAGACGTATATAATAGATTCTACAAAAATGTGTTTACAAATTTACGTATATTGGTGTGTTTAGTTCAGAATTTCTTACGCGTATTTTCAAGGCTAATAAGAAACAAATAATTATAAACATGGCCAGATGTGGCTGTTGCCTCCAATTCCGAGAATGCAGTATTCGCGAGTGTTTCGTAGAAATCGGTCAATGTTGTCATTTCGTTGCTAATTTCTTGCGCCGTTTCAAGACCGATAGGAAGTGCTGTTGAAAATTATAAACATAGGTATGGCTACTGTCTGTAATTCCAAGAGCGCAGTCTTCGCGAGTGCCTCGTAGGGATCGGTCGATGTTGTGATTTCGCATGGCGCAACAGAACGTGTCTCGACATGATTTTGTCAAGTTAGTTCTAGCTTTTTGTTTCGCGAATAAACGTTAGTCCGCGCGTGTGTTCTTTTTGCAGGAGCGAAATTGCTTCTGAAGATACATTTTGTAAGATACTTTTTGACATACTTTTGTTCATGTTTTATTGCTTATTGTATTAGATTGCACTAATACAAGTAACATTTTTCTGGAAAATAGATTATGGTACTAAAATAATAGTCTTGATTGTACATCACGTTATGTTACATTTAGCTATAGTTTCATTCTCAAATACGATGAGTTACGAAACGCATACTATAAAAGGTTCTATACATATTTTTGATTTGCTTTAATCTTGACTTATATAATTAGTACAATCTCGTTACATTGTTAATGAAGTTTAAAAATGTTTGATACAATATACATGATATATTCGCAAGATATAATAAATGTCCGAATGCTTTCGTAAACAATTGAAGCAAACAATTTAACTAAATAAGAACTTAATTCTGATAAATTTCTTTTAGATTGCAATATATGAAAAGAATATTCTCTACATGTGAATTTGAAGTAACCAATAGCATTGCATATTCGTACTGTTAAAACCTAGAAACGGGAGCAATTGCTGCTCGTATTTCTATCCACGTACAGGGATTTCGGGACGAGCACGATATTGTTAACAAGTCGCTTCCCTTTAAATTATGCCCGTCGGCTAATAACAGGGAGACACATGACATTCGTGCATGGCAATAATTAATTTTCGCAATTATGCCCGCCTTCGTTCCTTCCTGCTCCGCATCACTTCACTCGATGTACTTTCTTTACCCCCCTAACCCTTCTTCCAACACATCTATCCTATGCCTCGACAGATTTACATACGTATCCTTAAAAATCAACCTTGCTTGTTACTACGACTATGGCTAACCTATCATGAAACGATTTTCTGCTTCCAGGTAAATACCACAACGTCTCTGTAGAGCAGTATTTAACCTATTAATCACTCGAGCCTACCCTTTCTTCCTGGCTGGTAAGTCATGAAATATATTTGTTCACTTTTAATGCATTCGAGGTAATATGCACTATATATTAGTCTATCAAATGTTTGAATATTTCTTATTGATATATTGAAGACAGAAGTAAATGAAAGTATTATATATTGTATTTAGGATATGAAATTGACATTTGTTAATCGTGGGTATTGAAGTTTCAAAGATTTGCAATACATATATAATATATGGAATTATATGAAATATTCAAAGTAGAATATTTGTTAAAATATTTAGTAAAAAAAAAAATTTTAGCTGCGTTCATAAAAATATAAATTAAATGTTAGATTCTTTTACATATAACACAGCTAGGAAAAGGTACAACATAGTATGATACTATGGTATAAAGTATTAGAAAAGGAAATACGTGAAAATTGGAATTAATCTGAAATTAAAATAAATAAGAAAAGAGGAAAACGAATAGTTTATAAAACACGTCGACTCTTGATTATCATTTTATAACTTTAGATTTCGAATGGATTAACTCATACACTCTCGGTGAAATGTCTTAGACATTCTTCATTAATATTAAATATATTCAAAATAGTACTAAACATTAGAAATCTGAGATCTTGAGAATATTACTTCAGAATTCTTTTTACATAAAATATTACCTAATTTTTCTAATTTTAAAATAAATTAACACTTTCTGAACTCTTGGTTATAGTATAACTTTATTATATCATAAAATATCATTCGAATCTTCTAATTTCCAAACAAGTATAGTACCTGTTCTAAGACCTTTCAACGGTGGTGTACATCATGCTTCGTTAAACTTATTCTTGTGATCTGCTGTGGTTCAGCAAACGTCTCGTTCCCAAATCGTATCGTTACCGTATCGTTACTAGGTCGGCGAGGAAGTGAATAAATTCCATTCGAAACGCGAAACTTCGAAAAATCGCGAGCAACTCTCGCCAGTCTGCGCGACGTCGAGCTACGGTCGAAAGCTTTGGTCTCGGCTGGAAGGGTCGCGGGGATGGGCGGCGGGAGTAAATTAGTAATTAGAAATCTGATACTGGTAAGGTAAGTCGGTGTTGTTTCGGCATTGCGTGGCAGTGCGCGTCGCGTGGACTTCTGCGACAGGCACGGCCTCGCGTGACCCGACGCCCCCGCTTAGGGTGGGCCAGGGGTCGCTCCGAGCAAGGAGCAAGCAACGAAAGGAGGGTAGGTTAGGGGGAGGGGGTGGGAGGACGAGGAGACCGTCCTGGAAAACGTAAGGGATGACAATTATGCCCTACAGGTAATTGCCAGGTTGCAGCTAAACGGAGCGGGCGGCCTAACCTGTGTCCCCTTTCTCGCCCCTCTTCGATAAACCGCGCGGAGCACGCTCTGAAACGCGAGCTTTCATCAGAAAATCATGGCTTTTAAAAAGCGTCACGCTTTCCGCGACCTTCTAATTTATCATACCCGCGGTTTTCGCCTTTACCAGTATGGACACACGATCTTCGAGAACCGTGACGGAATTCCTTTGTTTAGACGACGATTTTATTTCCGTCAGGCTTTTCTTTAATCTCGTGTGTCACGCTGTGTCTTTCTGCATTTTGCGCTTTTCTTTTCGTAATAATTGATACACATTGCAAACGTACGAATACATAAAATCGTTCACGTGTAATTTTGACTTATCACGGAAGTTTTTGTTCTATTTCGTGCAAAACTGGTCGAAGAGCATCTTTAACTTTCAATCGTGTTATATTTTTAACTAAACTGTTGTTGAGTAATTCTATAATTATTTATAGAAGGTTTATTTATGTATTTTATGTTTCTGTTTGTCTTGGTTTAAATTAATAGAGTTTCTCGAATGTAACCGTGTAGGCGTACATATTTCGAATGTAGTTTGTGAATAATTAGAACTTTTCGTGAAGAAATTAATTTTGTTTCTTAATATTTCTGTTTGCATTAGATTAGTATAAAGTTAATGAAGGGATTTTTTTATTGAATATAGTACTATATTTTAATCGTGTTTTTGTAAATATATAGCGTAGACATATTTTTAACCAGATTAGTCTATTAAAAGTAAGCTACCGAAATTGTTTTATACTATTCTTTCCTTCTGTCTACGTAGTCGATTAAGCCGTTGACTATAGATATCCCCCTTATAATCTAATTTAAATGCTGTTACTGACTCATCCTTCTCAAGCGCCGTGGAATTCTTTTCTATCATTGACAAGCATGACGTGTTCGACACGTTATCTCTTACTCGTTCACTTTGTGTTAGTGTTTCATTGATCGGGCATGATATAACAGTAGCAAACATTCTTTCACATCAAATGCGATTGTCGATTTATTACTCCAAATCACTTGCTATTTATAACATCAGATTTTTCATATCCATCGTAACTTTATTCACTTTTTTTTTTTTTTATCAAACATACATATTGGCTACAAAAAATATTTGTATATATGTTTTCCATTTTCCAGCGAAATATATTATTATCAGATATTCTATTTCTTTGTCATAGTATCAAATTCTTACAATCATTGAGTTCTGTTTTAAAAAAATTAAACAGGTACGTAAACTCTTTTAATCACAAATATAACTCAAACAGTTTATAAATAAATACCAGTACCTTTAATAATATCATTTCACATATTGAAGGGACATGATTTTGAAATTGACGATACTTCAAATTTTTGAACGACAGTATACGCAATGAATAATAAGAAAACTTAATTAATACGTAAATTTTCTAAAACATACAAATACTATTTCCGTAGCCAAAGTTCGCGAATTAATCGCAATAATCAATTGCAAGGTAATTCCGTCAATTCTTACACGTACATATACATTCCACGTACGCTATACAACGTTCCAGTGCTGATTCAATGTTTTACACTCGCCGACTGTGCCCCTCCACCACTTCTATCGACTACTGAATAAAAAGATCGAACGTAGAACGTAATATCAAAGTACGTAGAAATCCTCGAAAACGCAGAATTTAGAGGATGGTGAGGAGAGGGTGGTTGGCGGGAGGAGGACGAGGGTCGACCCCTCGGCGACAATCGTCCACAAAATTAGCCACAAATGTGTGTTATTTCGCCGGGCGAGCTGATGTGCGGTGACGTATATGCCCGGCATCTATTATGAAAGCAGTCCCGTAAAAGCTGCCGCCGTCTGACGCTCGTTCCGCACGCGCGTTTTCCCACGTGCTCGTAAGCCACGTAGTCCGGTAGCTGGTCGGTGCGCGCAACGGCCATAAGCGGCACAGCATAAGACGCGTTTAGAATCGCGTAGCAAGGTGCAAGAGGGAGAGAGAGGGGGCTGGTGCAACGATAGAAAGGAGAATACGCGCCGCTATACCGCTGTCACTTTTATCACGTTATTGGCGTTGCACCGCCACCAAGAGGCCACGTGGCCTGTGGCAGAACGCGGGCATAAGTCGGCGTCGCTTGTGCCCGGAACACGCCGCATGTCAAACGAACACTTGGCCGATCAGTACGCCCCAAGCCTTGGCACGCTTTATGTGTTTTTACGTACGTGTCTGTTGGTCAGTTCCGTGAATCGAAACGAGGGTAGCGAGTACCTAGGAGAGAGAGAGAGAGAGAAAGAGAGAGAGAGAGAGAGAAGTCGCGTGATCGTTAACTTCATTCTTACCTCGAGAACGAGTTTTCGGAGGTTCTATTTCACGGCTTGCGAGGTTCGCCGTTTCTTTTTTTTTTTTTTTTTTTTTTTTTCGGTAACGATAAGACTTGGAAGTGCTTGGAACCGTTTTGACGAAAACCGTAGTGACTGCGGGAGTGATAAAACTCGACTTTCCTTCGTTTTTGTCGCGTGGTCAAGTTTTTGGCGAGGGAGGGTATTACGTAAGTATGACATATTTGTTTAGATGTGATAAATTTTTTAAAGGTGAAAATATTGTAATAATCGTTGGATGTATTCAATTGTGAGGTATTCAGTTGTGAGGTATTCAATTTTCATAAGCATATTAGAGCTTTATTGATTGTCATTAATTTATTTTTTTATCATTTTTATTAGTTATATCGATATTATTAGTTTCCCGATTCTTCACATTATTTCGTTGGTAATTAATCTGTATTTTCGTTTAAAAGTCTTAGAACACCTACTTACTATTTTAAAAATCCGGTATCTATCGTAAATATTTAAATTATATACGTATTTTATAATACACACACAACTATTGATGTATTAATAATTCAGAATTTTCGTTGTACGAAATAGTAATTAATTCTTTCAATTTCAAAATCAACGTAGCATTTGTCCCAAGACTTTTGAACGAAGGTGTACATACATCGTTCTGTTTCTTCCCTGTTTCAATCAATTCTTCGATTTTGATAGTACGAACAAAGTAAAAATTGCCCGGATTATCGTCACACTTTCCGTCGTTCGAAACAATTCTGCTGGTAACTCGTGACTGGTAGATTTTCAAAGTATTATTTCACGGGGTGCTTAGATGCACATCGAACTGTTTCTTTGGTAGTTTCGTTTCGTGCACGCGCCACCAAACGCCGCACGTGAAGCGAACTGAAAAGTATGGCAAAAGGAAAGAAAAAAAAAAAAGAAAAAAGAAAAAGAAAAATGGTCGAACGGTTGGTGTGATGTCGTGTCATTCGAGTGGCGGTCGCATGCCAGCCGGCGAATTAGCGTCGAGTGGCTAGAGTTACCAGTAGAAGAACACGTATAGAGGCTGACGTTCGCATGACGGATGTCGATTCAATAGCTCGATTTCACCGACCTCGCAGCCCCGATGCCCCTCCGGCATCGCGGAGAAATTTTACACCGATCGATCGCGATTAATCCTCGGCTCTGGTAGTTTAGGATCATAATCTCCTCTAGTCCGCGATACGTCAATTTCTAATACAATTTTACGGTGCACGAAACAGTTCGCGTTTGCCTTGTTAACTAACATCTTCATTGAATTATATTTGATAATTAACGTTGAACTTGAAATTAAAAGAAAGTGATTAATCATCTGCGGAGTTTTATAAATTTACACATAGGAAAAAATTTTTAACTGCAAGGTAA